GCCACATGAGTTTCTGATAGAGAGGATCCAGAGATACAAGATTGTGGAATTTCATGGTTCAGGTAAGGATGACCTGGTAACTGCTTAGTAGTGGCTTTAGGAGACACTAAAGATCTTGAGAAAGTTATACCTTACCCCCGATGTAGTATGAAGTGCACCACCATTTTGTTAAAAGATGATACAATCGATTTGATAGGATATGGTAGCGGATTGTTGAACATTACTCATAGTTAAAGAAAACAAGACTAGGGTTCTAGACTCAATCAAGAATAACTTTAGCGTAAAAGAAAGACTTGGCCAAAATTAAGGTTTTTGCTGAAATCTTTCTGTCATAGAATTGAATAAGAAGATGATAGCTAGAAAGATGATGATGGATATATAATGAATATATAAAAAGATAAATAAAAAGATAGATAAAGATGATAAAAGATTAAATTTGAAGATTTCCTCTGATATGTATGAATGTGGCGTGAACTAGGGTTTGTGGGACGAGCTTTGCGTGAAGAGATAATGATTATGGTGGTGATGATGATGTTTATAGGAATTTGTCCTAAGAACTCTCCTAGTCGCAATTAACTAGGTAACCACTATAATAAGCTTTAACTGACCATCCTAACCGCAATGGAAAGGCAACCCAGAGTATGAAGATCTCCCCCACATTGAACTAGCAGAACTTGGTAACAAAGAAAGCTTCGAAGGCATAAGGCAATCAACACTGCAAGAACGTACTCACGTTGTATTAATAATCAAGAACAAGTTGATTTACAATGGTGAATGAAGTCTTCTTTGCATAGGGGAGGAGTTTCAAAGTCTTAAGTAACTAATGAATAAAATAATAATAAAATAAAGATAAAATAATATTTTGAGTCTATCTTAATTCCTAATAAAATGATAAATATAATCCTAAAAAAATAATGCATTATCTTATATTAACTTATATTACAAATAATCAATAAAAGTATTCAGAATTCGTAATACTTAGAAAATCTCGTATTAATCCCGTATAGGAATTTCTGCATGCGCTACCTTCATTAAAATGGGTGTGTCTTGAGTTTCCAACATCGAATTAATGCGTTTCAGGTACCATTGGAAATCTAAGAGAAAACCGATCATATTCCCAGAAGACATGTCTAACAAATAAACCTAGATCCCATTCAAAAAATCGCCACGAGTCTATTGCTGTTTCGGTCTTCTTTTTTAAGTCTTGGGCGTGTAGATCAATTAGAAGTGTTGATTCATCTCCCTTTGATGTGAGGCGAGTGGTGCATGTATCACGATTGGTGGGACATGATCTAGATTGCTATGCAGCCGGAGATACATACTTGGGGGAAGTTCTTACATGAGTCTCGAGACAAGTGTATCAGGAGGTGCATTTGGATGATCTCCATACACAATTCTCTTAGCTGGTTTAGGGAGACTAATTGATATTCAAGTACGAGAGGGATTTCCTAAGATTGAGTAGATATGTGCATGAATTGGTTGCTATTGAGGCATTGAGGTGCCAAAGATTTTGAGAGGAGTTGAATATCGAGTTGTCATTTCATGGGTTCGATGTCATATTGAGGACATGTTGGCTTCGTGAGTAAGGTGCATTTAGACTGCGAGTTATCCTGTGCGATTTTGAAGACCCTAAAAGGGTCAGATCTTATGATTATTATGAAAGACCCAAATTTCTTTCGAATGTTATTTTGGCTTTGGATGCATGTAAGATACTAGATTATGGATGTGAGGCATTTTTTGTATATATCATTAATTCAGGTGGTAAGGAGTTGGGTTTACAAGATATCTGAAACGTTAGGAATTTTCCTAATGTATTTCTAGAAGAGCTTTAAGGTTTGTCATCGGATTGTGAGGTTGAGTTTTGCATTGAGAGTTATTTCAATTAAGCTCATTTTTCTATTGCTCCCTATCACATGACAACGAAGGAGTTAAAGGCTTAATTGTAAGAATTATTGGATCGTGGTTTTATTCGATCGAGTATTTTTCTAAGGGTTCTCCTGTCTTGTTTTTGAAGAAGAAGAACGATATGATACACATGTGTATCGATTATCATCAGTCGAATAAGTTGATGATCAATAATCGATATCCCTTGTTAAGGAACAATGACTTATTTAATCAATTCCGAGGTGCTAATGTGTTTTCAAATATTGATTTAAGGTTGAGTTACTATCATTTGAAGGTTAATGAGCTAGATGTGATGAAGACTGCATTCCTAATGCATTAGGCCCATTATGAGTTCTTGATGATGTCGTTCGATTTGATAAATGCCACTATTGCTTTCATGGGTTTGATTAATCGTGTATTCCATCCATCCGTATCTTGATCAATTTGTGGTGGTTTCCATCGCTGATATCCTTGTGTACTCTAATACCGAGGAAGAACATGATTCACATCTTTGGGTTGTTTTGCAAGTGTTGCGTGAGAAACAGTTGTATGAAAAGTTATCAAAGTGTGAGTTTTGGCTTTAGGAGTTTGTGTTTTTGGGTCATGTTGTTTCAGCTGAGGGTATTCGTGTTGTTTTGAATAAGATTAAGGCGATTGTTGAGTGGAAGTCGCCAAAGAGTGCTATTGAAGTCCGTAGTTTCCTTAGTTTAGTTGTGTACTATTATCAATTCATTGAGGGGTTTTCCACTATTGTTGCTCCTTTGACGAAGTTGATTCAGAAGAATTCTAAGTAAGAGTGAAATGAGGAGATGTAGCATAGCTTCGAGAAGCTAAAGTCAGTGTTGACTGAATCTCCTGTGTTGATTTAGCTCGAGTATGGGAAGAATTTTATGGTGTATAGCAATGCGTCTATTATTGATTTTTATTGCTTGTTGATGCAATATGGTAGGGTGATTGCTTATGATTCGAGGCAGTTGAGGTCGTATGAGCATAATTATCTGACATATGATTTAGAGTTAGCTGCCATAGTGTTCGCATTAAAGATTTGACGGCATCATCTGTATGGTGAAAGGTGTATCATATATACTGATCATGAGAGTCTTAAGTATCTCTTTACCCATAAGGAGTTGAACTTGAGGCAAACGTTGGATTGATTTGCTAAAGGATTATGATTGTTCAATCGAGTATCATCTCGAAAAGGCTAATGTTGTCGTCGGTTCATTGAGGCGTAAGTCGATAGGGCGAGTTGCGAGCTTTATTTGCCAGACTGATTGATGCAGGAGATGGTGCTTTAGTTGCTGAGTTGCAAATCCTTGTAAACTAAATTCTTACTAGATCTCGATTAGGTTTTAATTTAGTCGATATTATTATAACACATCCTGAATGTCAATTATTTGAATGTGTTTTAACATATAATTATTCTTGATCTATTGGTTTAGGGTGAGGTCAAGTAAAGACATCGAATAAATAAAAAATTGAATTGTAATATTTTGATCTAAATTAAATAAAGTTTTATATTAATTTAATTTATAATTATTTTTATTTATAATGTATAAATATGTTTATATTTCAAATAAAAAAATATTTTATAATATTATATACAAATTATTAATTATTTTTATGTATAAAAATAATTATTTTATTGAAATACAATTAAAATAAAAACTCTAAATTATTATAAAAATAAAAAATATAACAGAATACAATCGAATTAAATTAGATAATTGAAAAACTCTTAAGAGTGATAAAACCAAATCGAACTCATCCTTAATTTGTTGACTCATGGACAGTTTTAAGACTTTTACGTTTTGCATAAAAAAGTGTAAACTATATCCAAGACCACTTAATTATTGCTTTTTCTCATTTGCACCATCAATCTTTTAATTTTATCAATCAAATCGCTTAATTTTTAAATGTTCCAATCAAGCTACTTATCTTTAACGTTTAATGCAAAAGGTGACGTGAGTTTTAAAAATATTAAAATTATACATCTGGTCCTCAATATTGGCACATTCTATTAATTTTATCCTAATTTTAATTCATTTAAAAAAATTTAATTTCCAATCATGCGATGACATATATCAATACCAAATTAGAGGATATATTTTAGAAAGTATGGTAAAACCAAATCGATTCCACCCTTAATTTGTTGACTTATGGACAATTTAAGACTTTATGTATAGTATAAAAAACAAAGGCATAATATATTCTAGTATTCTTCTGACCTGGTGTTGCAAAGTAAGACTCAGAGTAACACATGGACCCAAACACGTAATAAAACAATCTTTTTAATTTTATTAGAGTTAACTGCATCACACTTTCTTAAATTATGATCCTAATTTTAAATTAGTCTCTAAATTTTTAAACATTTTAATTTGATCCCTAAATTATGACTATTATTTTAAATTAGTCCTTAAAGTCTTTAACATTTCAGTTTCATCCCCAAAATATGATCATTATACTAAATTGATCTCTACATATTTGGATGAATTTAGGGATAAAATTGGAAGATTCAAAAGTTTGGGGACCAATTTAGAATGAGTCACAATTTGAGGATGAAATTGGAATGTTCAAAAGTTTAAGAACTAATTTAGAATGAAAGTAGGGATGGCAATGGGTCGGGTTTTTGGTCAACTCGACCTGACACGAAATATATATATACCTCCACTCGAACCTGACTGGACTCGAAAATATATATCTTCCACCCACTCGACCCAAAGAGAATATTTTTTGCACCAGAATCTGACCCAATTTTTTAGAATATAAATCCAACCCGGTCGGATCAAAGATTTTTCACCATCCACCTGAACTCGACCAGACCTGACCTCACCCATATATAAAATTCGACTTAACTCGACCCAAACTCGATTTTTTAACGAAAAATCCAACCCTATTGGGTTGGGTCAGGTCAGAATCCATTAATTTCGGATTAAATTACTATCCCTAAACGAGAGTCATAGTTCATGGATAAAATTAGAATATTGAAAAGTTTAAGAACTAATTTGAAATGAGGGTCATAGTTTGGGGCATATGATAAAATTAACCCATTTTATTAAAACACTATAATATATTTTCGTGGGGGTGTGTACCTTATAAGAAGAGGCAGAAGAACATATGTTTCAACTAATTGTTTAGAGAGAAAAGGAAGGAAAGAAGAGAAGAAAGGGCTGGCCTTGCATTTCTCATGAACTGTGGAGTCGTCTTGGGTTTCTATTGTTGGGGTTGGGAGTTCTTAACTGCCCTTCTTCTCTTCTCCTCTTCTTATTCGTTTCTTCTTCTTCTTCTCCTCCCCTTTGTTTTACACTATACATCTTATACTCTTAGTAATATGGAGTCTATGAATATGACAAGTGATGGTAATAAGGGTTTGTTAGAATATGTTAGGAAATCAACACCACCACCATTCTTGTTGAAGACTTATATGCTGGTGGAGGATCCCGCTACCGATGACGTTATTTCTTGGAACTCCGATGGCTCGGGGTTCATCGTATGGCAGCCGCCGGAGTTTGCTCGTGATCTCATCCCCACACTTTTCAAGCACAGCAACTTCTCCAGCTTTGTCCGCCAGCTTAATACTTATGTAAGTAATTTTTAGGCCTAATGTCAAGAAACCCTATGCAGATGAAAAATATTAGTTAAAAAACAATTAACGTTCCAAAATATGAATTTTATTGCCTTAAAATTAAACATTAGGACTAAAATGTTAAGAAAACAGGGGTCAAAGTAATTATTTAATCAAACGTTAGAAATCTTTTTATCCTAAAACAAAATATTGGAAGTCAAAATACTTTAATTAAAAATAAAGACGAAAATAACTGCTTATTTAAATATTAGGGGCATATTTGATATTATGCCTGATTTTTATTTATTTGCAACCAATTTTTTTATCGTAAATTCTTGATTATTTAGGTTGGGTGGACTTGGTTACCCAAATAGTATTTCCAATTTTTGACCTTAGAACAAGAAATTTTATATGCTTTGTCCTTTTCTCTATTATTATGTGAATGAGAAAAGAAAGTCAGTCGTAACGCGTAGGTTTAAAAAAAATATTTTGAGTTTGAGTAGGATAGAGTAAATATTTTTAGCTTATCCAATCTAGTTGGATTTAAATTTAGAGTAAAAAATACTCGATCGACCTAAAATGTAATATAAATATACCTTATATATCTAAAGATAATTATAACAATATTTCTCTCTATATTATTATTTTTAGTTAGATCTTTATTTCATAAAATAATTTAAAAATTATATATTTATGTCGGGTCAGATCGGATGTGAATTTTATCTTAAATGACAGATTTAATTTTTTATTGAATCTAGTTGGATTGACCCAAATTCTCACTCTACCAAAACCATGTAAATCCCTTATGATCCTGGAAAACGTGTTAGGGATGACATACGTTTACTAGTCAAAGGTCAATGATTAAATAAATAAACAACACATATGATCCACACTAAAAGTTTAATATATTTATAAAAACAATATTTTTCATTAATTTATTGTGGTGAAAATATTAAAAAGGAACTCCTTGAGTATGCTGTTTTAGTTAGGTAAAGTTTTAATATTTACTTTAGTCATAAATAAGTCATTATCATAGTCAATCGAAATGAGAGGTTAACTTGTGTTAAAGATTTATTAGGTATATATTGAAAGTTAGACTTGGGGATATATTTAGGTATAAGTTCAAAGATTAAATTGGGATTTGTGTAGATCATGTTAAATGCCATAAAATGTTCTATTTACTTTATATTCAGGATGGATTAGAGAAGGCAGTTGAGGCAATAGTCATCCCCTTAAAAATATTAAATTATTATATATTTTAATTTATTTTATATTTACTATTGATAATTTCTTGTCACCACTAACCTTTTATAAGTTAACCCCTCTTAAATTTTTAAAAATTTGTTTCCCTTGATATAAAAAGTCATGCATTTGTCTCTACTTATATATATACCGTAAAATAGATTTTTGACGGAATAAAAAAGACACATATAGTAGAATCGTAACCATAGAATATGACCCTAATCAAAATGTATAAGTTTGTCTCATATAGAGATGGCGAGAAGAGATATTTTACATACAGTAGGGACTATAATTGGAGATATCATTGTTTCTGGTACAAAATTTCCTACAAAAATGCGAAATGTCTTATCTTTAGTGTGGTTTGAACTATTAATTTACATAATTAGAAGTAACAAACTAGATTTACGATAAAATTTAAAAATCGATCATTGATCTAATTTGACTATCTTTACAGGATATACCTCTATGAATACCCAACTCTTTTTTTAAAATTTTTTTCGATACATGCCTAACCATCTTTGGGTATTTAATTACAGTGACGGATCTACATTGAGTTAAGGGTGGACACGTAATTCAAATTTTCTTCAATTATTTACTGATTTTATTAATTGTGTTCAACATGAAATTTTATTTGTACTCAACCCATACAAAAATTTTATGTTATAAATATATATCTACTCTAAAAAAATATTTTTAGATCCGCTAACTTTTAATTATGAATAAAAAAATCTCAACTAGTGGCAATAATTATTATACTTAATTTTTTTAAAAAAAAATATTTTGCTTACACGCAGGGGTTTCGGAAAGTAGCAACCAACCGATGGGAATTTTGCAACGAAATGTTCCGGAAGGGCGAAAGTGAGCTGCTCTGCAAAATCCGAAGAAGAAAAGCATGGGTCAATAAGCAACAAAGCGGCGCGCCAATTCACGCTCCACCGCCGGCCGTGGAGTGCGACGAAGATCAGAGATCCTCTTCAACCTGTTCGTCGTCGGGATTCAACTGCCTCGTAGACGAAAACAAGCGTCTGAAGAAGGAAAACGGGTTGCTGAAGTGGGAGCTGACGAGCATGAAGAGAAAATGCAAGGAACTTCTCGACTTGGTGGCTAATTACGCGCAGTTCGAGAAAGAGAAAGACAACGACCACAATATCCCCAAGCTCTTCGGTGTGAAGTTGGAAACTGAAGGCGAGAGGGAGAAGAAGAGGAAGATTAGTGAAAGCGCTAGCGTTTTACTTTCTCAAGCCTGCAAATAATTACCACATGATATATTTATTACATATAATATGGATTTATATTTAACAAAGTTACTATATGTAGTTTTAAAAAAACAAACTATATAGTATATACTTTTATATATTGTTAGTAAATTAGATAATATGATAGCATATAACTAATTTACTGACATTATATGAAGTTGTATACTTTCAATACATAGATGTAAATCCATAGTATATATACATATATTAAAAAAAACTGTATTTGCTAATCGGGATGGATCTAGCGGGGGTGGGTGAAGATGGTCGTCCCCCAAAAAAGTTCAAATTATTATATATTTTAAATATTTTCTATTGAAAACATATTTTCACCTCTTAAAATTTTATAAATTCTTTCCTACTTAAAATTTTATAAGTTTGTCTCCTAATATGATATCATTTTTCTGTCCCTGTTTGTAGTAACTATAATAATTATATGCATGAGTGAACTACATAGTGACATATCCAGAGTTTTAAGAATATGGATCCAAAATTTTTATATTTTTCTTAAAAATAACGGGTATATAAAAAATTATTTTTTCCATAACAAGATTAAACTAGATTAACTATTTTTCTAAAATAATGAAAAGTATTTGACTCCTAAGAGGCTTAATGCATACGCCCCTAGAACTATTGTTTTTGTTGCCGGAAACAAACTTCCATGTTGTTGAAAAATTTAAGGTTAATTTACTGCTTATCCTCATGCTTTTCTTTTCTTTTCTTGTTTTCTTCTTTTATTTATTCATCTAATTTTTCATAAAAAATATTAAAACTATTATAATTACGTCAAATCAAAACTATCTAAGAAATTATTTTCAGTCAACAATTGCAGAGTAGGGGTAAAAACCTCTCGGTTGACATTTTTCTTTTCTATTAAATTATGAGTTCAATATATATTAAAAATAAAATTTCCCTTCTCGTTCTCCTAAAAAGGAATTGTTCAAAAAAATTAAAAATTTTAAATTCAATATTCTTCATAAAAAAATATTAATAATTTAAGGTCAATATTCTTTTTGTTTAGTTCACACTCACATTTAGCATTATATAAGATTAAATATTTTAGCCAAACTTGTGTTTTAGCTCATCTTGTAATCAATATCGTGAGTGTAGACTAATTGAAAAGAACATTGACATTTGCAACGAGTTTTTTTTTTTTAAATTTATGGATAATAAATTCTAATATTTTGGTAGTTGTTAGCTAATAAATGGTACGTGTTAGTCCCAAGAATTATATTCAATTTTATGAATTTAAGATGGTACATGATTTTCAGCAAATTAAAGTAACTAATGTTGACAAATTCAACAAATAAATGTTTACAAGAATGTGAACCATTCTTTAATTTTAATTTTTTGGATAAACTACATATTTAGTATCTATTACTTTTGTTGTGTTTTAGTACCCAAATTTTATTTTATTTTTCAAAATCATATTTAACGTTTAGTTTAAAGTTTCATTTTGGTACCTACCGTTAAAAACTTAACATTGATTTTGATGTGTCACAATAAGCTAGTACCACATCATCATTGAATTTTTTTTAAAAATACCATGTCAACAGTTCTGTTAATTTTTTAATGACGAATAACAAATTGAAATCTAACTAAATGTTAGGTATAGTTTTGAAAGAAAAAGTATAATTTGGATACCAAAATGGAACAAAAGTAATAATTTAGATATTAAATGTGTAGTTTATCATACTTTTTTTTCTAGGTTGATTTGAAATGTTTCCCAGGACGACTAGGGCTGAGCAATGAAACCGAAAAACCGACACAAACCGAGTAAAACGGTTCGGTTCGGTTCGGTTCGGCATTATACGGTTCGGTTTTCGGTTCGGTTTAAAGTCTCAATTCCTTTGATTCGGTTCGGTTCGGGTTTTTCATATGGAACCCATTTATTCCATATTGAACCGAATAGGCAATTTTTTTAAAAAAAAATTATAGTTTCAAGTGATTTTTTCATTGAAAAACCGATAAACCGAACCGAAAAAACCGGTTTCGGTTTTTTCAGTTTTTTAACCATTCGATTTTGGTTTAAATTTTAAAAAACCGTTTATTTCGGTTAGGTTCACTTTTTGGTAAAAAACCGAACCGAACCGAATACACCCCTAGGGCCGACTATTAGGAAGCACCATGAGCAACTGCTTAGGGCCCCCAAATTTTTTATATTTATAATTAGAGCTTTCAATTTTTTATATTTATAGTTAAGGTTCCCAATTTTTATAATTTCATAAATTTTTAATTTTTTACCCTCTTCTTCCATCTCTCTTATTAATTCATTCAATTTTAATTAAGCTTAATCATATTTTTTCTTTTTACAAATCTCATTCTTCAATTTACCAAATTTTCTTTAATTTTTCGTCTTCTCTAATCCAAATATAACAATAAAATAACACACAATTTTTTCTATTTATTTATTATTCAAAATTAAGCTATCTATCATACCCACATTCATTTTTTATATTTATTTTTTCTTAATTTATTTAAATTATTTTCTTAATAAAATAATAAAAATATGGTTTGAACAAATTTAATAATTTTCTATAATTTATTTATGTACTATTAAATTAATTGTTCAAAGTAATGAAATTAATTTATTTATGTACTATTAAATTAATTGTTCAAAGTAATGAAATATATAACAATAAAGTAATGTTTTCTTTGATACTTTGCAGGTGTTAATTATAAAATAATATTTTTTAAACGATAAGGAAACAATATAAAAAGATGTACAGCAATCTATTTTTGACAAGTAAAAATTGTTGTTGAATGGAGTTTGGGAAATCGATACCAAAAGGATAAAATTTTGAGAATTTAATTTCAAAATAAAATATTAAAAATTGGTAGTTATGTCCACAATTTTTCTTAGCAGTAGAATTGGAATTTTCAAAGTTGATGGGAATCTGAGCTGAAAAAGTTAGATTGGTTGAGGGGTTAGGTCCATGCTGTAATTGCTCGTTATTTAATTTCACAAACCAAATGCTTTGATTTTCTGTTTTTCAAACTAAATTTGATAACGTTAGATAGATTCATAAATATTTTTGTAATGAATATATGTATTAATAACACAAAATTTTCGTATAAAAAGATATAAATAATTTTTGGATAAATATAATATAAATAAGTAGCTATTAAAAAAATTCGAATTTTAAAATTACACGTATCCATTCTGAGTTAAAGGTGGATCCGCCACCGAATACGTATTGCACTTGTTTCTTCTTTTTCCATATTTTCTTTATTTCTTCGATTGCTAATAAATATAATAATTGTTTTTCATGTACATAAATTGTGTAAAAATCGAATTATTATATTATATAATTTGCAATAAGGATTTAACTAGGACACGATATCAAGATAAAATGAAGAAAAAAATTACTTTTGTAAACACTAAATTTCATTAGAATTTAAATTCAAATTCATTTATTGATTTAGTTTTTTAATTTAAATCCAATTAGTGTATTATTATACTTAGAACTAGGGGTGCTTAACGAGTTGAGCAGCTCGAACTCGACTCGGTCAAAACTCGGTAAACGCTCGACTCGAGTTGGCTCGATTCGAACTCAAACTTGACTAGAGACCTTAACGAGCTGAGCCGAGCAAAGTCTAACTCGACTCGATAAGTTCGTGAATAGCTAGTTATTTTTTAAAATATATTTTTAGTAATTACTTCAAAATTATTTTATTCAAAAACTAAATCTAAATAGTAATTATTAATTTATTAATAATAATAAAAAATAATAAGTTAACTAATCTATTATTTTTAATAAATAATAAAATATATTAATTAATAATATTATTTTAATACAAAAACCCCGACCCTAGTATCCTCATATAGTATTAGTAAATTTTATTTTTAGTTTAAAAAATAAGGTAAATTTTTAGTGAGCTTAACGAGCAAAGAGTCGAATTGAGTAGCAAAATTTTTTAACGAGCACAAGTCGAGCACAATTTTAACGAGCTTAGCGAGCAACGAGTCGAACAACAAATTTTTTTTAACGAGCACGAGTCGAGCACTGCCCAACTCGCTCAATAATCACCCCTACTTAGAACCATTTTGTATATTATTGAATTGTTTTGGTTACAAGTATATTATTGAATTTGAATTGCATTCATCCCAATTTCAACCTATAATTTTAACTCGGTGATTGATTTTCAGATTTGTTCTTTAATTATTATATTATATTAAAATAAAAAGATAAAAACAGAGGTGACTATACCGATGATCCCTTGTATTTTTTATATTTTTTTATTTTAGTAACAAATTTAAAAAAATCATGGTTTCGATCCCTAAATGGATGTTCGGGTTTAGCCCATTGGCTGTTAACTACCATTGACCGATTAATTGTAGTTCGAGTTGGAAATAAATATTCTCTCAATATTTGTCTCTAAACTTTTCTACCCCTTCAATTAAATATTGGATGAAGTACACAAATGGTCCATCGACTATAGGGTGTTGCTTTGTTGAGTCATTTGACTATTAAAAGTTACAAAATGGTTACAAAATGGTCCCTCAACTATAGGGCGTTGCTTTGTTGAGTCTTTTGACTATTAAAAGTTACAAAATGGTCACTTGACTATTCATATACTCCAAATTGGTCCTTTTTCGTTAAAAAAATTAATTATCGTATGTGTTGAATGTTAACTTGCTGACTGAGATATGATAAATCTAATCCCAAATTCTTTTGAGTTTCTTGGATCAAATTTTATCATATCCCAGTCAACAGGTTAGAGTCTAACTCAGACACCGTCAATTTTTTAATAGAAAAGGATGAGTTTGAAATATATGAATAGCCGGGAGACTCAACAAAGTAATTTTCTATAGTCGGAGGATCATTTTATAACTTTTAATAGTCAAGAGACTCAACAAAGTAACCCCCTATAATCAGGGGACTATTTGTATTCTTTTACCCTTAAATACTCCGAGTTTCCTCTTATCTTACAAATTAAATGAACGAATTTCTCTTTTAAAGAAGGTTCAAATCTCTCTTTTCAAATTAAAAAAAAAA